ACTCTTTCCTGCTTATGCAGGGGGTCGGACTCAATGATCTATTGAGGTCCCTTCCGACCCTAACATCTATGAATCTATGAAGCTCTGCATCACTAGCAAATCCTCTTACTGGAGGATATCTTTCCACTGCTGGCTACCCTACCTATGAAGCTATGTTGAGCTGGAGAAGAAGTAGCAAGGGAGCACGTAGTAGAACCTCAGTTCAGTCCCAGGGTGAGCTGATTACAAAGAGTTTCAGGGGTGTGTAACGCTAGAGCAGTTCTCTATGTGACTGTCAGTTGCAAGTTCTTTCTGATGCGCTGAGGATTGCATGCGTACCTCAGTAATAATATAACAAATTTATGGGACCTGGTTACAACATGCATAAGATGCTTAAAGTTGTAGGAACCTTAGCCAATTCACATAGACAAAATCCTTGTAATGCTTATGTTTTAAGAGGCTCTTATAACTTTTTATAACTGCAGGGTAAACTGGAGTAGGATTGATCAGCGTGACTGGTGATTATGTTTTTAATTTAATTGTTTTGCTGCTGTTTATAAGAAAGTGTAGGATAGGTCAAATTCATTTTTCATTTTAGGTTAAAAAAGCATCAGGGTTTGGGAACATTCCATGTTTCTCTGTCTTTTCTGTGGAGGATTAGGGAGTGCTACAGTGAATATCATGTTGAACAGAGCAATTTTTTTGGTTATTTGGCCTGATCTATCTTAGCCCAAGTCATAAGATCTAACACATTATGGCCGATGCAAAAGACATAGCTGTTTTTCTCACCTCAGCCTGGTTGGTGTGATCCTGTAATTTCAGCTGGCTGACAAGAAAGCAAAATTTCCACCTTATTGAAACAAAACTTAGACATACCTTGTCCCATGTCAAGGTCTCCCCCTGGAGCTGTCCATGATAAGTGAATGCTTTCATCTTCTATATGAGCCTCCAGATCCATAATTTTACAGGGTGGAAATATATCAGCATATCCTCCTTCCACTCCACTCACTACAATAGAACCTCCTGATGCTGTTCTGCTGAAGCTTCCTAGTTTTGCCTGAATTTCCTCATTATTAACTTCAGGTCTTGGTGCATTCATTTGGATTGTACCTGCCCCCAAGATCATTCATAGCTTATTAGTACAACACTCCAAAGTATAACACTTTCTTTTACCCTTAATTTCTTTCCCCTTCCTGTACTTTTTAATTTACCTAATTCAAGATAAGTTCAGGAGTCAGTTAAGTGAAGATAGAAAACCTGGCACAAGATTTAGAAAAAGACAAAAGCAAAATCGACTTTAGAGCAGTTGGAGCAAGAAACAGTGCCAAGTATCATTTAAGATAGGTAGAGTATTATGAAGGTGCCGATGGGTTATGGATGAGATAAGTTTGCTTTGACCAAAATTTTCCTAGATACTGTAGGCAGTAGAAGAAAGTCAATCCCAGGTAACCATTTACTTACTTATTTGCGTGTAAGTTATACTCATTTTTATGTAGACTTTTCTAAACCAATATACTGGCTTCAGAAATTTGCAGGAGAAAAGATTAAATGCAAAAGTTAACATTAATTCAACATTAAGGTCCAGAAATCAGGCACTCAAAAGTTACGACATTCCAAAAGCCATTTTTTTCACCAAAATATATTATGCAGTCATGTTGCAATATTTTACATTGGTAAAAAAATACTAAAGATTGGCCTCAACCAGGAAAATGGGAAGAGGAAATTAAACATTTGTGCAATGCAACAGGTCAGGACAGGTCATGCAATTCTGGGAATGGAGCATAAAATTCCTCATATCCAAATTGTGGGATTGCTGGCTGCCACCATGGAGGTCAGGTGGATGGGGAAAGAGGGAGGCATCTGTAGCTGTACCCCCTCAATAACATGGAAACAGCAGTTGTGGAGCCAGGAGCTCCTTATGCCCCAGGTACTGCTTCTGTGGGTACCTGGGGCTCCCAACTGCACGCCCACTTTTTAAAGGTGCATAAACCCAAAATCAGGAAGCCTTTCACTGATGTTGGTCTTGGGTGTGCACCTGGGAGCCCCAGCTGAATGCCCATTCACTTTATGTTCCCTAGGTGCCATAAGCCTGACACCCGGGAGAGGCTCCCTAATGTTGGTCTCATAGAGAGCAGGCATCCTGGTGCAGCTGGATGTGGAGGAGCTCCTCCATCCCCCACTGCACAGCGCTGGCTTAAAGAGGAACCCACACAGGCAGCAGGGAATGGGAAAGCTCGTTCATCCCAGCTGCTTACAACAGGTGTCTTTTTAAAGCAGCATGTGCAATTGGGAATGGGGAAAGCTCCTCTCACCCCCCACTGTACTCACCTATTTAAAGAGTTGCCTGATGCTAGCAGCTGTGGATAAAGAAGCTTTCCTATTCCCTGCTGACTCTTTAAACCAGCATGTGCAGCTGGGGATAGGAAAAGCTTCCCCATCGCAGCTACACATCTGACATCAGGAAAGAGGGAGCAAGGGGAGCCAGTTTTAGGACCTGGAGCTGCCACCAGCACGATCATGACAATTGAATGGGAGTGGCTTTGTCCTAGGTCCCAAGATTGCCTGTACTGGACCCCAATGCTCAGCTGAGCATTAGGTTTCAGCACCAGGCAGCCCAGGGCCTGGTTCAGACCCATGGCTTTCCCCTGTCTGAACCTGAGGATTAGGCAGGGGAGGGCTGGGTGCCAGACCCTGGAGCTGTCCCATACCCTGAGGCTCACTGGGACTTGAGTGACTATACACATGCTCTGGGGTAGAGAGGGATGTTTTAATTAGAGTGGCTCTCAGGACCTGCTCTAAATACTATGCCTGCGGCATTAGGATTACCGTATTGTCCAGGTTTTCCCAGACATGTCCTCATTTTGGGTCCTCTGATTTCTGCCCTGGCAGTTTTTTGAGGTATGAACAAATCTTTGGGGTTTTGCTAGTAGAACTGTATTTCCCGGCTTGCCCTAGTGGCTTGCATGTTTACCAAAGATCCAGGTTTTCTGTTTGTTGTGGAAAAATGAGGTTTTCCTCTTGAAAGAAGGAAACCATAGGTTTCCCTTTGCTGGCTGGCAGCCTTCCAGCCTGCAAGGAACTTCTTGGGGTGACTGGAGGCAGGGGGCACCATGTGCGTCTGTGCGCACACACACGTGTTCGGCATACTGCAAGACAGGGTGGTGGGAGCAGCCTCAGTAGCTGGATGCAGGTAAGCTTATGGGGGTGGGGGTTGGCTGGCCAGGACTTGGGGCCATTTGTGTTTGGGCTGTGTGTGTGTGGCAGGGGGTGTGGAAGGGATGGGTGTGCAGAGGGGGAGGGGGCAGGTGCCTGCTGGAGGAAGACGTCTGGGTACTGGAGCTACACCAGGGCAGGGGGGTGGGAGGGAAGTGCCTACCGTTCCAGTGGGAGAAGGGGGCAGGCGGGCCTTCGAGGGTAGCGAGGAGCTGTGCAGCCAGGCCAGTGGGCTGCCTGGTGCCTATGCTGGCAGGGGCAGGGCACCCAGGAGATGCTGCCTGAGGGGGGCCATGGCCAGGCTGCCTAGTGCAACGCAGGAGCCGCAGCTCAGGGTGGGGGATGCCACAGCCCTCCTCTCCTCCCTTCAGCCAAGCTGGGGCCCAACTCACTCGGCCACTGCCTGCAGGAGCCAGAGCCGCCACAGCCACAGCGCTCCAGCTCAGTCAGGATGGGCACAGCTGGGGGCCTCCTCCAGCAGAGGGAAGGCAAGGGGTGCAGGTTGGGAGTGAGGGGAACTGGCAGGGCTGGGGGGTGCTGTGGCTTGGGAATTAGGGGCACCAGGAGGGGTGTAGGGCTGTGGGTCAGGAGTGTAAGACATGGGCAGCACCAAGGGGCTGCGAATCAGGAGTGAGGGGCATCGGCATGGCCTGAGTGGGTGGGCAGGGGACTGTGGTTTGAAAGTGAGGGACACCAGCAGTGCCAGGGAAAACAAGGGGATGTGGGTTGGGAGTGAGGGGCAGCAGTACGGACAAGAGACTATGGGTTGGGAGTAAGGGGCACCAGCAGTGCCAGGGGGTATGAGTTGGGAGTAAGGGGCACCAGGGGAGGTGGGGGGCTGTGGGGGTCAGGAGTGAGGGGCAACCCCCTCTTCCCTCAACAGGTGTCCTTTGTTTTGGAACTGGAAATATGGTAGCCCTATGCAGCGTCTCATGTATTCAGTGTGCAGCATTTCAAGATGGCAGCCGGGGTGCTTTAACTAAAGCTCGTTCAACGAAGGCGTTCTAATCCGAATGCATCAGAGCACACGTAAACGTTCCCTCAGCCTTAAAGATCAGCGGCTGCAGGGTGAGCTTCGTTCAGGTGCTGGGTGCTGGCGAGACCGCATCCTGGTGTGGAGAATCAGCTGATTGTCAGCATTGAGACAAGGGCAGCCCCCAGCCACGTTGCAGACCCAGAGCTGCCCAGGTCTGGATGCTGAAAACCAGCTGACTGTCAGCATCAGCATGATGGGGCATGCCACACATTCAGTTTACAGTGCCATATGAGCCAGCCACAAATAGGTTATACATTTTGAGTAATAGCTTTGTGGCCGATTTGCCATTTCATGATGCCATCAATGAGCATATACTTTCTTTGTTTTTATAAATGGTTAGTTTGTATAAGCGGCTCAATTAACATGTTAACATGGATCCCAGGGGCCAAAATGAACACCGTGATTTAACTTGTGGCATTTCTAGGACATCTGAGTACCTGATTAGGGATGCAAATACCAATTAAATAAATATTTGTTTAACCTGTTGTAATTAGAGCAGATTAAATGACGAATCAATCAGCCATGGGGATGGAGAACACTGAGCTCCAGCCTGTGGCTCTGCGAAGCCCAGGGGAGAGAGGGGTGCTGAGTCCCAGGCTGGCTCCTGCCCTGCCATGGAAGAGGGCCTGCACCCCCCTGCTCTGAGCAAAGTGGAGCGCCAGGGCCAAAGGAGCCCTGCCAGGCAGGCAGCACAGCCCAGGAAGTCGCAGGGGCAGGCGGATGTACCAGTCAGTGAGGGGCTGCAGTTACCGGCCGCAGCTTCCCAGAGCCAGCTACAGGAGGGAGGAGGGAGGTGGGAGGCAGGCAGCCAGTGCCAGGCATTACCAGCTGGCTTCAGCCTCTGACACCCTATGAGAGGGGAGCACTCCCTTCCCCTCTCCTCTTCCCACTTCCCTCCTTCTCACTCCTCTCCCCCTCCCTCCCTCCCTATAGCCTAGCTTTTAGGTATTAGTTACCCCTCCTCTCTCACCTCCTCACACCTCTCTCCCTCCCTCCTGTCCTTCCACCTTCCAGTTCCACTTACTTATCACTGAACTGATTGGTTAAACAATAAATCATGTAAATGGTTCATATCCCTATACCCAATATCTCAAATTTAAAGAGTGTTTCTTAGTCATCAGAACTGCTCCTTCTATTTATCTAGAGTAATATCTGCTAAATTAAGTGGCAAAATAAAAATTTGGTGAGTTGTTGTTTCTTTACCCCCAAAAAAGGTTTCAACTAAGTTCCATCTGCAGGTCCCACTGTGGGATTCCCCCGTCTTCACATTGTGCCCTTGATTAAACTTATGCAGTTCCAGCACAGGTTATAAGATTTCAAAGCTGTAACTGAGGGTGGGATTTGGCCTACACGTTCTGGTGATAATATATAACCCAGAAAGGACATACTATATTTATTCACATACCACTTGCACCTCCCCCCCCGCCAACCCCCACCAAAAAAAATTAGCCCTTCAAAATTGGAGTGCATATTTTAAATGAGGACGCTGATTTCCACACCAAAATGGAGGCATGGGGATGTTGGAATGGCTGTCAGGACCTGGCTCCATAGTGGGCTCCTAGTTGCATAGAGGAGGGGCAGAGCTCACTACTCAGCATCACTCACACCCTCCTTGCAAGCTCCACAACTGAGGATTAACCCCGTCACAGCAACTGCTGAATTGGCTCAGCAGCACTCAGTTCACCAGTGGCTGTGCCATAACAACTGTTATATGACAGGGTTCAAACTTCAGCTGGAGAGTTTGCAAGGGGAGTGTGGTGGTGAAGAGTACAGCCTGTGCTCCATGCAGGCAGCAAGCTTTATCTGTCACCGCCATTGCTAATTCAGTTAATTGAGACTCAGTAAGTAGAGAACTCAGGACAGGAGTTTTATGAATCCTTTTATAAATCTCTCTTCAAATAAAGTTTTATTTTAATTAACACTTTCGTACTCAACCTCTCCACCCTGAGTATTTAAGTCAAAACAGAATTTAAAAGTTCTTCATCTGATTAAATATAGATTTAAAATTATTTCTCATGTTCAGGCTTCTTGGTGTTCATGGTTCCCATAGAGTACTGTATTTTTTATTACAGTATTTCTATAATAAAGTAAATCGTTCTTATTAAATTATTGTACACAGTGCTCAAGCTTAGTAAAATAATGTACTTCCTGTTATTCTTTTTGAAAAGTACAAATGTTAGTCAAAAAGTTAATATAACAGATCTTAAGCTTTAAAAAACATTACTGTGAAAGTAAATTAGCCCCCATCAGCCATCATTTGCACACACAAATCCACACCAAGTATTTTAAAACTTTTTTAAATGCCCTTACCGTTCTCTATGTAGCCTGGCACATACAAGGCTCGACTTTGTCTCGTGCCAAATCTGACAGTTTTATCTCTTCCATGGACACAAACTTTCAAGTTGTATCTACCATTTGCCTGTAAAGATGTGAAGAACCTGGAATAGATTCCATCATTCTTGGCAACATCAGCACCTTGGCATAAAACATTAAAAGTTAACATCCAAATCCAGTTATCTTTTGGTAAGCAACGTCATTTAGGCTGTTTAGTACTTGAGCACAAGTGGTCCTGCTGTTACTGGAGTCAATTATCGTTTCAATGGGGACATCAATGAAAACTGCATCATGTCTTGTGATAATTTAGGATTAATATATATTCATCTTAGGGTAACAATGTAGCATTCAAACTAGGGATGTAAGCAGCTAACCAATCGGTGAACAGATCAGCTCAGTGATAACTGGTTCTAGCTTACCGGTTATCATTTAGCCTGGGTCCGGGTGCTGGAAGGGAAGCCCTGTGTTGCTCCAGCAGGACCTGGAAGGTGGCAGGGCAGGAGGGAAGGAGGGAGGGAGTGGGGAGAGGAGATGGAAAGGGCAACTAACAACCTAGTAGCTAAGCTGAGTGGAGGGGAGGAGAGGGGCTCCCTGCTCTCTCCCTGCTCTCACCAGCAGCTGCAGGGGACTGGTACAGCCCATTCCTGGTTGCTGCCTGCCTGGCAGGGCTATGCTGCTTGCCTCTCCTCCTCTCTCTCAGTGTTGCCAGATGTACAATAATGATCATGTTTATACAATAATTTCAATGTATGATCAATAATAGTGAAATAGTATTCAAAGTGTATGATAACTTTTGAGGCAGTTAATTGGCACAGTATATGCAAAAGGCAAGTTGCTCTCAGGGACTCTTAATTAACTTTTGAGTTGCCTATCAGCACTTTCTTACAACTGCTTACTTTAATATAAGCGCATGCTTCAACTTTGATGACTCCATTCTCACTCACTCACTTGGAGTTATAGTGAGCAATCTAAAGTAAATAAGAAGAAGACTTATTTGCATATTTATTTGCATATTTTTCAGTGTATGATAGTTTTTCAAATACAGTAATTTTGAGCTTCCAATTACGATAATTTTAGATTTAATACCTGGCAATGCTGTCCCTCCTGCACTGCTGCAGGTGGCTCCAGGAAGCCACCGGTCAGTGGCTGCAGCCCCTCACTGGTGCTGCTGCCCATGGCTTCTTGGGTGGTGACAGGCAGCAAGCCCTGCCAGGCAGGCAGCACTGCCCAGGCTCTGGCCAGCAAGGGGCCAGCTCCTATTACGCAGAGGAGAGGGGAAGGGAGACTTAGGTACTGGCAGCTCCTCCCCATGGCAGCTCCCCCCTGCACTGCTACAGCTGGCCATGGGAAGCCGCATGCTGGTGGCTGCAGCCCCTTGGGCTTCCTGGCTTATGCTGCCTGCCTGGTGGGGCTTGTTTGGCCCTGGACTGCTCTGGCCAGGTGGGTGCAGCCCTTCCTCCACGGCAGGGCAAGGTGGAGGTAAGTGGGTGTAGGGTGACTCCCCTGAGTCTACAGGTCAACCTCATGGTGTACCCCGCCTGCCCCATCTGCACCTGGAATGGACTGAGAGAGGACCCACCTACTTCCACCTACCTCCCCCTTTGTGAGGCGCAGCCCTGGGGAGCTGCTGCTGGCCTTGTGTTCAGTTACAGGTGTGATAAGAATCAGTCACAAAGGTATTACACATGTTTTGTAACATGTATGTAAAATATACTCAAAGTTCAGAGAGTGAATTTAGGCATAGAGTTGTTTGCCATCTTTTGTCCCTGTGCAGTTATTTGCATCATAGGTGATAGCCCAAGAGAGAAAACAGGCTTTGAAGAGAGACTTTGCCTTTCCTTCCTGTGCACAATTTCTCTTTCTTCCTCCCATTACACCCAGTACAATACATCAGGGTACATATGTTGTATCAGTTTGGATACCAAGCCATTCACCCATCCTAAAAGCACTTCCCTGCTCTTAAAGTACCACTACTAAAGACCAGAGTCACAGTTTTCTTCCTTTGAAACCCCTTATTCTGGGCTCATTGCATACCGGTGACTGACTCCTTTGTGTAAATTTGCAAGTAGCATGTAGTAGATTCTAAAATGCAGAACACAAGTGGGGAGAATGCAAATTGATAAATAAAAAGCAAGGACATTTATTAAAAAATTACCTGAGCCATTGTCAAAAAGTTCCAGATCTACTGCAGTTCCAGCCTGAGTTTCAACAGTGGCTATCACAGTTGCACCAAGAACAGGCAAGAACCCTTGGCTAACTTCTGCATAAATAACCATTGGACTAGGAACACTGTTTGTATCTTTATTCATGTGAGCTCTCACAGTCACTGGAGGCACATCCAAAGATGCTGCTCGAGTGGTTACTGTCATTGATATGACTTGAGGGGCTGTATATGTATTTTGAATCTGATAATGCCAGTTTCCCCACTGCAAATCAAATATAAAAATAATATGTTTATTATAAGAATACAGTATAATATGAGGAGCCTTGTTCCTCTTATATAATAAATTTATTATATTAGATAAAATGTGATTTTTCAGTGGCATAAAGAGCAATTAGGGCAGGGGTGGGCAATTATTTTGGCTGGTGGGCCGCTTAACGAGTTTTGGTGAGCTGTTGTGGGCAACACAGTCTTTCAGAAGATACAATTTTAACATATTACAGATGAAAACCAGATCTTATATTAAAAGTCAGACATCTATTATAACATTTAAATTTTATTTCAAAAATAATTTTTGTCTTGATTTATGTTTTTCGAGGAGTATATATAGAGAGTATTGCATACTAGCTCAAAATAAAGTCATATTTATGTATATTCTGTGGGCTGGTGGGGTGTGTGGTGGGGCTGGGGGAGGTGTGCACTTGTGCATGGGGTGTTGCCTGCACCCTAGGTCCCGGGAGCTGGTCGGTGGTGGGCAGAGGGAGAGGGTGGCAGGGGGCGTGTGCAACACAGCTCACTTAAGTGGTGCAGGTGCAGTCTGCCTCCCACCTCATCTGGCCTGTGGCTGCCCCGATGGCGCTCCACATGGGGTGAGCCCCATCCACTCCTGCCCAGGGCAGCCCACGCCATGGTCCCACCTGCACCCGTTCTGCATTCATCAATGGCCCTGGGCCCAGCCATTGCACACAGCTTACCAGTGGGGTAACTCTCATTGCTACTGCAGCCACCTGTGTACTGCTCAGCTCGCCCTGCCTCCAGCAGCATTGGCTTCTCCTGCTTCTGCCCTGGGAGCAGGTAGCATGGGGAAGCAGCGGTAGCCGTAGGGACACATGCCCAGCCTGGTGGGGAAGAAGCTGCAGCTGGGCAGCTCCTGCCCCAGCACACAGGGCTCAGCTCCCAGCTGCTTTCCACCTTCTCTGCCCAACCACGCTCTGTTTGGGAGCATGGTTTGGGCTCACCTGGGCAGAAGTGGGTGGGGATCAGTCCCCTGCAGAGGCAACTGCAGGCTGGATGCAATCAATTGGCAGCTGGATCCAGCTCACAGGCCATATTTTGCCCACCCATGAGTGCCCCGCATCAATACAAGGCAATAGCTGAGATAATCTGGATACCTTAACTAGAATTGTTCTCACATTCAAACGTTCAGATTACTTTTAAAGTTAAATTTACAGCTGATTTTTGGGGTATTAGGAATTCTATCATTGTTGGAACCACATGTGCTCTTGAGTTACTGATGTGAACGCTCAGCCTTAACTTCAGCTCAGTGCAGGGTGTTGTGTGGAAATCTTATATCACAAATGTCTCATTGCAGATCCAAAGGTGGGAGTATGGGCCTGGCTCTACATTTGTACCTATCGGTGAAGTTACACATTACACTTAGACCATACCAAGACCACTTAAAAAGGGAGCATCCCCACATTAAACTTAGGAGCCTGTGCTAAGTGTGCTCTGAGTGTTTCAAAGTTGGGTCACTTCAAGCAAGGATTAACTCTGGTCCATGCTACTTAGCTTATGGTAGAGTAGCTTCATCCTGCTCCACAGAGAGAAAATGAACAAGTTGCAGTTGCTGTCCTCCGGCATCTCAGGATGCCCCATTCCCAGCCCTCCCTCGCCCCCCAGCAGGGATAGAGCCAGATGTCTGCCAGCCCTCACCTGATAAGTCAGAGCTGTGCTGACAAGAAACAGTATTAACTCTTAACATACAACTGCTCACCACATATTCTAACTTTAACACATCTTAACATTTGACAGATTTAATATGGTGTAAGTGTAATGTGTAACTTTATCCTTTAGGCTGTCCCTCTTCTTCTGTAGACTCGTCTGTAAATCAGCATCTTATTCAGGCTGGGAAGTCAAAGGCAATCAGATATGATGTTAGCCATACCACTCCCTTGTGTCAGTAGGCATGTCTACATAAGACGCTATGGTGCCATAGCATCTTTTGGCAAAAACCATGACACCGCCGCTATGTCATCATAGCAGCGCGCTCCCTCATTACAGTGCATTGCTATGGCGACATAGCAGCCAAAAATAACTGTGTGTGGCCATGGCATGGTATATGCTGTTACTGCGCCGTCTTTTAGTACTGCAAATGTTAGTACTAAATGATGGTGCAATAACAAGGGTGCCGTACAGCTACATTTGGACACACCCAGTGATTACAGAAACTGGTTTGCCTTAACCACACTAGCCTGATGAGTTACCTAGGATGGGGTACATTTTTTGACAGCGTATTATAAAAGTGTAGGTGACATGTACATAAAGGTTAATTTCTGCAGAAGGTTTGCAAAGCAAAAGAAAGGTGAAGCTGGTGGTTTTGATGTTGCTTTTTTACTTGTAAAAATAGCACATACGCTTTACTTCACGAAAGATAGTATAGTGTACAGACACAGAAAGAGAGAACATGCACTTTACCTCTGCGGTGTCTGCTATAGTGAGTCGAGCTGTTCTGGGGTTTGCAGTACTAGTGGTAAAGTTAATATTTTTATACTGTTTTCCTTTAGGGTCTGTGAGGAAAATGCTTGGTAAAGACCCACTGCACATAACTACGAAGAAGGTATCATTTCCTACAGTGCTGTCAACAATCACTGACCCATTCATCCACTGACTAACTGCAACTTGGAGAGCTTGGCTTTCAAGCTGTCAGACAAATGAAATATGATTTATGGTTAGATAGCAGGTAAATACTTAAAATACAACTAATTTTTCTCTTATGAGGATGAACAACTCTGATATTATGGCAATTCAGTGGATACTCTGGGTGGGGAGGCTTTGTGCCACTGCTGGAGAAGGGAGCCAGGGTAATATTAATACTATAACAGCACTACTGTGAGCAGATCCCATGTTCTGCACAGAACTGAGTCCTGTGAAGAAGGCAGAAGGTTTGTACTGTTGCTGTCTCCATGCCCAAGGGAAGCCAGCAGGACTGATAGAGCCACCACACAGTGCAGGAGTTAGGATTACCAGTGATAAAAATGTCTCCTAATTGCCCTGTAACTGCTTTATAATGGGAGGCAAAACAAACTCTGAAACTCAGACCTGAATAGGTTGTTGAGAAATATTTCCACTTCCTGATGAAATCCCACTGAATGCATCAATTAGACTACTGGATTCCAGGGCGTCTGTAGCAGAATACTGCAAACCTCCTGAAATGCAAATGTTAAAATGATCAGAACAGGAACTTAACTATAGGAATTAATGTATCTTTGCTGTGAGCCTTGTGCTTAAAATGGTACTCCATTTAGATAGTCCATCTAATTAATTTTCAGTTTCTGAATGTATTGCTTTCCATGCATGCTTTGTGGGAATGATGGTCTGGAATCCACTGAAGTGGGCACTTGGGTCAGCACCCCTGATCTGGGCAATCTTCTTAACCAGATTTCATATGGCTTGATCTGACAGGATGTTCATGCTGTTCCATGTCATGGGGTACAGTTCTCTCTCATTTCTAAGATGTTTTTGATAATTTTGGACTCTGACACATGTCATTCCCACAAAGTGAAATTTTGCTGTGAAAAGCATCTCTATATAAATGACATGGTTGAATTCTATGAATAGTTCTTCTTAGTGTGATGTAGCTCATATCCAGTTAGTTTTTTAGTATCCCAGGGGAGTTCCATTACCAGTGGGTTACAGAAGGATCCTCCTTCCTGCTTGACTTCCTGCAGGCCCCCTGATTTTTGCACTCTTGGCTATCCATTGCCCCAGCTTCAACAGAAAGGAGGGAAGGTTTCCCCACTCAGTCTGTTCTGTAGTGTGGCAGTTAATGCACTGAAAGTGCATTTGAATACTCTGAGGTTGAGGAAGGCTTATAACTAGACACCTACTTAAGTCATGGCAAGACAACGCCATTTTTGTAGCTTGCTCATGGCACAAAGGGCCAATTTCACAGGCATTTCCTGGTGCCCCTGCCCCTCACTACTGATTGGCAGATAGGCTCCGCCATTTCCAGAGATAGTCAGTGAGACTCAAGCTCATGAGAGTGGCTGCAGGGATTACTGTGTTATCTAAGTGTTGTGGTAAGGTTTGGGAGACTCTAAAATAGTATATTATATGAATAATATGCTGTGGGGTTTGGGGATTGATTTTGCGGGAAATCCAAGCTGACAGAGTACTTCCTGGTGACTGCAGATACCTCCAGTTTTTCCTGGTTTCTGCCAATTAAGGAGGTCCCTACTTACAACTCAGGTGTCCTGCTTGCTGGCCAAGTGGTCAAAGCACTATGTCATTGTGTTACAGGAAGCAGCACCATTACCAATGATCTGGAGCTGAATTTGTCAGGTTTGACCTAGAAACCACTACACAAAGCCCAAGCAAAAGTCTCTGTTATGTAACTAATGCCCATCTGCAATGATAAGGAGGAGACAGTCTTAGATAAAGGAGGCTTGAAAACAAAAGCAGAATCAGTGGACTAGGGCAAAGAGCTGATTTAAATATTAAGATTCACACCCCGAGGTGGGGAGAAAGTATGCTAATGAAACATACATGTATGGAAATGAGATACATAGCTAAAACACAGGTATAGAGACATGCTCATTAAAGAACTCCTTGCGTCACTCCCTTATAACCAATTAGCAAACAAGAATGCTTATGAAGGTCCAATACTCCTGTATAAAAGATGCTTAGAATTAAGAATCTGTGTGCTTGTTACGTGAAATTATTCCGCTTGCACCTTGTATTGCTAGCAATAAATCTTTATACTTTCACCCCTGGTATCTTTATTGGCTTTTGCATACTGGGCACGATCCCAGACTTGAGCTGGGGCTCAACAAATTTAGTGTGCATTAGATATGCTTGAAGCCTGGTAAGTAGATCAGATCTCTTCACAGACTTAGGTGCTTCCCAGCACCAAACTGAATTCTACAAAGCTTAGGCAGAATGTAGACTGTGAAGTGATCACTTCTGAGCATGCTCTAAAGCCCAAGTGTAGGTGCACCAGAAACTTTCCAGTGCAAACTGGAGGCACCACCTCAACTTGTGGTTTGTGGAGCAGGCCCAATCTGGATTACTTAGTAGAAGTTATTCACCAAAATTCTGCCCATGTCTTGCTTGGGTACCTATGGGACCAAACTGGATCAGGCCCTCAGTGAACATTTCTGTAATGGTACTCAGACCAGAAAAAGTTATCCTGGATCCCACCCTCCCAATAGATATTTTGCTTCATGACAGTACCCAGGAATACAAACTTGAGTCACTAAAGCAAACAGACATGACTGAACAGACATTCTGTGGGATAGCCAACATGACTCTGTTGCAGGTAGGACTTGCCTGACCAATCACATTTCCTTCTGTGACCGGGTGATACATCACCTGGACAAAGAAGAAGAGGTTGGTATCATATATTTGGACTTCAAAATAGCCTTTGACCTCATGTCCCATGAGGTCCTCATGGCAAAATTGGGGAACTGCAGACTCAACATCATTACAGTGCAATGTCTGGGGAACTGGCTCTGAGATCAGACCCAGAGAGTAGTAGCTGATGAAACCGAATCAACATGTTGCATAGTGGACTGGCTAAGTTTGCTGATGACACCAAACTATGGGGAAGTGTAGGCACACTTGAGGATAGTCTGGTGATCCAGGCTGATCTCAACAGGCTCACAAGGTGGCGAATGAAAACCTGATGACATTCAACATGGAGAAATGCAAGATGCTCCAGCTCCAGAGAAAAAACCTACGTCACACTTATAGGCTCGTCAGTGCTACACTTGCTAGTACCATGACTGAAAGAGACTCGGGGGTCATGATTGATCACAAGATGAACATGAGCCACCAATGCGATACTGCAGCCGGCAAAGCAAACAAAACTCTGGCTTGCATCTATTAATGTATCTCAAGCAAGACCCAGCAAGTCATCCTCCTGCTATACTCAGCCTTGGAGAGGCTGCAGCTGGACTGCTGCATCCAATTTTGGGGTCTGTAATTCAGAAAGGATTTGGAGAAGCATGAAAGAGTCTAAAGGAGAGCCACAGACATAATCAGAGGGCAAGAGAGCAGGTCTTATCAAGAGAAGCTGAGAGCCATGGGACTCTTCAGCCCAGAGAAGCGTAGACTCAGGGGTGACTTGGTAGAATAAGAAAGCAGCATTTATATGCAATAACACACTACATGGAGTTAAACTGAGTATAAATTAAACAGGGAATTAAACTGAGTCTAAAATAACACAAGAAATTCCCACTGCAGCATCATACAGCATCCACATGGTTTCCCTTAAACTGGCAGACCTAACCATCTTGGTATAGTGCTTACAGACTCCTTACACACTGTGCTTAACTTCTATGTAAAGAAACATGTAACTATAGAACTATCACATGTCTTTACATAGTAAGGTGTTACCACTTAACTACTTTTTAAATAGAAGTAAGTAAAACAAAATATTCCCTTTATTCAGGTAAGAATTAATATACTACAGATGAGCCTTGAATACAGTAACTAAGTTCATTTTCTTTCCACATTTCAAGCTAATATGTGCTTTGCTTTTGCATTTCATCACTAAGATATTCCTGCCAAAGCAGGATTCATTAGAAAAGTATTTACCTGTCATTTTCGAAAATTGTTCTAGTTCCGGGGCTGCCTGTGGCCCTAAAGCAATGGTGTGAACGACTGATCCACTCCTTCTCACCTCCTCAAGGCAATTGCTCATAGTAGTGTCTTCTCCATCTGTCAGCAACACAATTTCAGACCCATCTGTGTTTGAGAACTTTGTCTTAATCACCTAAATTGTGAAGAGGATCCACAGCATTAGCACTGGAACGTCATTGGTAACATCAGCTTCCCTAACAGTTAACATGTGAGTTAAGGAAAATTATCCTAATAGTTAATTAAGGGCAAAGCCCTTTCCTTGTAAATGGGAAATTTCTGGAGAGGAGGGGATATCAGCCAACATGAACACATTGGCATTATCTTGCCTGCATTATACAGTTCAATAGTTCAAGGGAGGGAAGGGAGGGGTATTCTACCAGCAGCACATGAGGTTCCTCTGTTTCTTATGGCTCAATAATTGCAGATGACATTTACAAGAAAAATATGGTGAACCAAGTCCTATTCCAATTTAAGGCAATAGCTGTTAACTGTTTGAAGCATAATTGAGTCTGTTTTTTCTCTCTCATTCTCCAGTACTGACACTGAAATCTGAAAGTCAAATTATAGTCATTTTTGATTTGTATGTCAGCTCAAGCAAGAAGTGTATTTGCAATCTAATGTTGTCTTCAGTTACACCTCTGCAATCCACTTCTCCTCAGTAGGGTTATGTGGTATAACTCTAGTCAGTATTAACTCTTGTAACTGGGACTCAACTAACATTGTCATGAAGATGCACAAGCCAGGCTGAGTAGGGCTGAATCCAGTTCTCTCTCCAGTAGCTGGAGTCAAACATAGTTAAAATATTTTCTCTCTTACCGAGGTCATAAAATATGACTCTGAATTTACACAGAAAACATGTGGCATATCTACCCTCCATTTCCACAGAACTGATTTTCAGAATAGAATTTGACTTATGCCAACACTAAAAGATTAAATTTTGAGTTTCAAACCTCAAATGTCCACTATTTTCATTTCTAGAAGGTGTCTTGATTCTCTACAAAGCAATCTTACAGGATTTACTCAACACATTTTTAATATAAATAACCCTTTTCCAATATTGGCTTGCTTTGAAAGGACAGAACTAAGATATAATGTTTGAAAAATATCATCTGCTGATAAACTGACAAGATGTTAAAAGTAACTGGTGTACTTCATAGAAAGTTACAGCCAGAACAGACCATTAAAATCATTTTGGCTAACATCTTTCATAGTATGGCCACAGAAGCTCATTCAGTAACTCAAATCAAATCCATAATTTTTGTTTTTAGCTATTGTATAATGTTTAGAAACTGTCCAGTCTTGATTTTAGGATTTTGAAACTACTGTATGTCTACATAGCGCCACCCTGTGACATGTAAAGTTAACTGTGTTAGCTCCAAAAGTCCTAGAATGAGGACCAAGATGAACAGGTGCGTGGATTAATGGAGTGCATTGTGCCTTGCAGACATCCTCTGAGTGACAGAGAATGTGCCACACAATTAAGTTTTCATAGTGCTCCCAGTATGTTTCTCATCACTGGTACTGTACTTCCGGTCTGAATCTGTGTGGCTTCTGTTTCCAGTCAGTGGAACTATTCATACCTTTGTTGGTTAGATTAGAGAGAAATCATCCTTTTCTTCCCCATGTATGTTATTAAAGAGACATTTTTTAACTTTGTCTTTGCTAAACTACATGCACTGGGCTTCTTAAGCCATGTCATGATTTTCCAAGTCATGATTTTCCATGTCATGATTTTCATAACTTGTCATGATTTTCCAAGTTCTGAATCATTCTTATTTCTCTTGGTCCATTGTCTATCCACCAATATCTCTAATTCTGTTACTGTATTCCCAGGTAAAGCCCCCCAGCATTCTTCACCTGAAATCCTTGCCGTACGCCTGCACAGATCTTAGTTCCTCCATCAGCTCTTGTAGGCAGGTATTTGATAAGGTCCTGGCGCACATTTTCACTGACTATTTTTTGTAGGTTAGTTTGAACTGTTGCTGAAAATGAGAAAGTGACAATTCCAGCCCAGGAACCGATTTCAATAATCTGCATCTGCAGCCTGATGGAGCCGTGTAATCCGATTATGCTGTATGTGATGAAAAGAACATACTTAGAACTGTCAGAGCTATTTGGGGAGAAGATACTGAATAAGAACTATTGCTCCTGAGCTGTTGTTCAGTTGATAATGATAAATCAAAATGTTTCTGATAAAAAGTACATATGAGATTTGGAGGGAAATATGGAAAATTAGACAAATGCCCATATCTCAGTATCACCAACTATCCTGTACATTATCTAAATGTCTGTTCATAGCATTCCTAGTAAACATTTTCAGATTCCATATTTATTTTGGTAAAATGATTGCAGACCTGAAGAATTATGCCATCACACATGTGGATTAGGCTAGTTTTCTTTTTTATAGGTATCCATGCCTTGAAAACACTGTCAGTTTTAGTGTATGTCATGATTTTGAATGCAAGTATTTGAACAGATTACTGAAACCCCAAAAAGGAGAAAATTTGCTCTGACAAATATTTCTTTCTACATCCAGCTAACTGCTATTATTCTTGATCTATTTAAGAATTCTCTTCTTGTCCTGCATTAGGCTTAGATATGATGGGTTAGTCTAGCTGTAACTCTTACTGGGATATTTTGTTCTTTAATAGTTTGGAGGTGAATTTGATGTCTATAAGAGTAAAATGCTTGTAGCACTAGTCTATGCGTGAATTCCCATGCTGTTCTGTCATTGTACTTCCACCACTCCTATTCCAGCCTTACAGTCTTCCAGACTGAAAAATGTCAGTTGTCAGGATGTTTTCTTTCATGATCAGGACAGAAGATCACATTCAATGAATAACTTTTGGTGAATAATATAACTGTAAGTAGTATATCACTATATTGTAATTGTACAGTTATGCTAAGGCCTGAAGCCAACTCTTTCCAAAACATCATATTGACACTATTAATAATGGCACACAGAAACAGGGTGCTTATAAACTTTTAGACCCTTGTATAGTACACATATCAAGCAAGAGAGGAAGATTACTGGCGTATTCTGTTTGGAAGGGATCGGTTAATGGTGATCCATGTGTATACCAAGAACAAAGAGAACTCCCTTGTTTTACTTCTGAGAGCTCTTTTCAGCAGTGACTCTTAAGTCTTAAACAGTTCGCTAAACTGGCTAGAAATCATTTGAACTCATTGACCAATTGTTATCCCCTAAGCATCAACATATTTTTGAAAGGTGAATATATAGGTTAATTTAAATACAATACCTGTTGGTGGGTTAGAATATAAGAATACATTCCAAGAGGTGAAATAATGGTAAATGAAAAAAGCAAAAATACACGATAAAAAAATTAACACTTATGCAGATCATATGAATAACATTTCTATGTATGCTTTACATTATTTACATACGTAAAAGTACATGCCTAAATTTAGGGTATTGAGATCCATGTCTCTTTAAATACCCTCTTCTAAGACTCGTGTGACCTTCAGGGGCATATACAAATAGAAAGTTATGCTAAATTTAAAAAAAACTCATTAAGAAAAGAACATTGCCCTGGATAAATAATTCCACATTATGATTACCCACATTCTCCATTCCTAAGCATGACACAAAGATGAAGGTTAAATATTTCATTATTTTGATACATACAACTTACATCTTGAGGTTGAAAATTATTTTAGAAAGAAACATTCTGGAAACACATCATGAAACTCGTATCTCTATATTTTCTTTATTGGTGGAAGTAAACTACTCTGGTTGTTTATATGATATGAAAATAAAGAAGTACAATGTATTAAAAACTTTTATCTTGAAAGAGAAAATGGACTAAATCTGGCCACTCCGTCTTAGCAGTTAGTAGCCTTCATACACTTCTTTTTAGCAGTTCCTAATTTTGCATAACATGTGGCACAGACAGAAGTGACAATTTTCACTTGATTTGGCCTCAGAAAGCAGTTTATAGCTGTGACTAAACACAAGTGTATGGCTGAAGACCACTTAAAAAATGGTCGATTGGGTGAAAATCTCTCCCCTCATTGAATGCGGGGTCTGATGAAGATATTGCAAAACAGATCCTCTTCTGTAACCTCTGTCTGTGCGGCCTGCCAGCCTCGAGCTGTTTTCAGAATGGGCGGGCAGAAACTAAGTCGAGGGAGTTTGGTCTGGGGTTTTCTCAGCCCCCACTGCAGGGTGGGAGAAGGTGTATTGGAGCCTTCCCCTCTCCCCCATCCTCCCACCATGGGGCTCCTATTCACCCACCCTACCCTTCAGCACCAGCTGGGGAGCCCCAAGAATGAGCTCCCTCTGCTGCCTTTCCCCCCTGCTAATTGGGTCATCAAAGTTGAAGAATGTCTTTATTTCAAAGCAAGCAGTGATAAGGAAGTGCTGACAGCAAACCCCAAAATCAGTTACGACTCCCTGGGAATGACTTGGGTTATGCATATGCTGCATGAATTAGCTGGCTCAAGTATTAATGTACATGTTGAACACTTTTACCGTTGTTGATTGTACAGCATACAAGGGTAGAAATTGTCATACAAACATGATAATTATCGTACACCTGGCAACACTATAGGGGAAACTGGCTGCAGGATACCTGCCAGCATCTAGACTCCCCTCCTTCCTGGAACCAACAGGGAACTTCTGTTTGTTCCAGAGGATCACAGTAATGCAGAAAGCTTCTGGCAGAGTGTTATCAGTGACAGCGGGGAGTTGCACTTCTCCACCCATGATTAGATAAGCCCCAAGTTTACTAAAAGAATAAATCTGATAACTGAAATATTGACTAAGAAAATTTTATAATAAATCAGCCATTTTATATCTATGTTTGTTTCTAAGGATTTATGCTCATAATGATATAAAATAGTAATACTTACAGCATCCATACTCCCAGAAACATCCAGCACTAGACAGATTACTCTGTCCTTGGCCTGTAACAGTACAAAAGAGGGCTCAGATGGAGGATGAGAGCTGTCTATTGGCAAGGCATTGCTGAAGTCAGTAGAGTTCATAATTACTTCCCATGTGCTTTTGTAGTTACACATTTTGTTCTGCATATTTGGAGCTTTTTCATTATGACTGTGTTTATTGCAGAATTTAACCACCTAAAAAAACAGTTGGGAATCAAGAATGATTATTATACAGCACGTGCACATGTAGCAGCAAACCTCATCCTATTATTGTGTATGTGTGAAGTGTGACATATTACCAGGCAGAATATATTACCCATGGATAATGCCCCTCTATTACAAAAAGAAGCATGACATTTTTGTCATATTTCTATGGTCATTTTGCATGTCCTGATTTTTCCTGCCTTAACTGGATGCTGTTTTATGCTGGGAGGGGGGAGACAAGTTTCCAGAGAAGAGGCAAAAAGAGTACTCAAGAGATTAAAAAGCCAGGCAGATGGTAAAGGAAGAACTACACGCAGGGTGCTGAGAACAAAGAAGAGAAGCTTTTCAGGCAGATAGCTGTTCTGAACATAGATTGAAACTGTGACTAAAGGAACAGCCTCATGCTGGTTGGTTCTAAGAAGAACTTTGCATGCATTCTTTGGAAATAATTTGGATTTGAAGAAATGCCCGATTCCATAAGCAATTTCTACTCCTGACACAAATAATGCACAAACCCTTGAATATTGTCCACCCTGCAAATCAAAAAAGGGGAAAAGATACTCACAGAAGGTAAGCTTTGCATGTACATTATAGATGCTGAGGCAGTTTGTTGTTTTTCTGGCACAAACTGACATCCAGGTTCAAACAGGTTGGTCGCTTCATCGTAGTTGCATTTCCTAGTTGCGCATCTGTTTCCGTGGCAATTATGGTATATATATCGACCAGCAATACTAGCTGAACACCTACAGTGAGATAAGATAGAAAAAGTCACAGCCATCAAGCCACAAGTAACCAACAAATAACTATTATTGGTTACTTATTTTTGTAATTACAGTAGGACCAAGGATCCCAGCCATCCTGTTGTGCTAGAGTCCTTATGCAAAACACAGAATGGCTGTGCTGCAAGAAGTTTACAATTCATAGCAGTGCTTGAAAAGTGAATAATTCTGCATCCCATTTCACATCATTGAGATATCTAGTCTTTATTATTTTGGTTTTGTATTGACAGACTTGCACATTTGAAACAAAACAGATGTACAGAATTCATAGAAATCGTCATAAGCTTTGTGGTAGCAAAGAAACTGGAACGATGTTCTTCTTAACAATTTAGAGAAAATGAGCATGAACTTAAAAGAAGTTCTTGGATAAGGAGGAGAAACTTCCAGGATTGTTTCCCAAAGGGGCTTGAGAAAATATTAATCTATGCTTCATGCCAATTGCTATTTGATAAACCCTAGGTAATCATGTAAAATAGGGGATTCAAATCTGCACTTGCATGTAGAATAAAAGATCATGCTATCTTGAAGTCCTGCATGATAAAATGATAATGAATGCAATTCCACAAGACTAAACTGTGGGCAGTGATAATTGTTAATTATGTATTGACTAAAATTCCTTCTCCCCACCTGAATAATAGCTCACCAAGCCTACTCACTTGGGGCTCAAAAATTGATGGGACCAAGAACACAAGGGTATGGCAGATGCAATCAAAATGCTTACAATGATATCAGTTAAAGACAGAATGTGAAGGAGTACCACCTTGTTGCTTCAGCCCTTGCTTCCCCAGAGTCTTCAGATGCATAGAACGGTGCATCATAATTATATTCATCAAACACCCCCCACCGAAGATGAGCCCATTCATGTACAAAAACTCTGGCTGTGAAAAAGAAGAACACATGAGCATTTTAAACCCAACAGTATAAAATTGACTTTAGGTCAAATCATTTTAACATACTTTGGTTCCATTTCTTCAATAAGTTCTGCTAGTGCAAACCTGTGTGCCCCTTTCAGAGTCAGGACTTGAAACCCAAATAGATTACCAAGGTTAAATTAACTCCCCAGGATTTTTACAGCTTTTGGTAAAGATTTAATAATATTCAATAATAAATTGTTACACTGCCCAGGGATTGCAGGAGGGAACAGCAGGCAGAGTACAGCTCTCTGAATTAACAAGTTTTATTGTTCAATAAGCATAACTCCTTGGTCTTGTGACAACAGTACAGGGACGCTCCCCACATGGCCCTGCCTGCAAACTGAGGCTCCACCCTGGCTCTGGCCTCAGCCCTGCCTTGTCACCTCCCTGTAATCCCAGGAAGATTGGCCAGGAGCTACATGGGTAGGGTGTGTGTCTGGGTACAGAGCTGTGTCTTGGGCCTGGGCGGGGGCCAGGATGTTGGGGTGGTGACAGTGCAGGACCGGGACAGAGCTACTGTCTCTGCCTCAAGATCCCCGGGTCCGCCCAGCCCCAACTGCGCCTTTCATTCCCAAACACCACTCCCCACCAGTTCACGGCCCCATCCCAGCTGCCTGGTCGTACATCCTGCCTGCGTGGGTCCCACCCCTGGCAGTGGATGTGGGGCAGCTGGGTCAGGGTGCCCAGGCAGTGGGTCTGGGTCTGGCAGTGGCAGTCAGGAGGAGCCACCGCCACCAGAGCTACCGGGAAATGGAGTCCAGTCACCATGCTGTCCCAGCCTCACTGTGCACCCCGAGGCAGCAGGACCAGCCACATGGACCATGGCCTAGGCTGCCCCTTAGACTGGACCTAATTTCTCGGTGGGTCAGATCTGGCCTATGGGCTGTATTTTGCCCACTCGTGTTTTAGGATGATCACAGTGGGCACATCTGTATGAGATGTTTACTGTTGAGCTGCCTAATAATCTCTGCAGTAAAGTCACAATGTCTTCATGAATGGCCCTATTAGGCCACAGTAAATGAACTCCTCTGCAGATTAGTATTTATAATTCAAGTATTATCCTGAGGCGGAGTTCTTCACTTCACAGCAATACATGTGTAGATGCTGATGGGTCTGCCTGGAGCACGAGGCTAGCCTGCTCACTGGGACACCCTTGTTCCCCATCCAGCAACTCTGCAGCACATTAAGCTGGATTGGAGCAGCCCTGGGCTGGCTGGCTGGCTGGCTGACCCCCCCAGGTCCCCTCCCAGCTGGGGCTGCTCTAACTTCACTTAATGTGCTGCAGTCCCAAGTGCATGTGAAGGCACAGCACCCAGGAGCAATAAACTCTGGTACAATATGCACAAGAATTTCTTCCTTTGCATTAATACCAGTGTATTGCCAGAAGACTGCAGTCCAAGGTCCTAGTTAGGACTTCCTCCCCACAAGAGAGTTGATGGCTAGAGACATGTAAGTGGGGTGCTCTTTTAAAGAACTGAGACTCCAGACCTCAGGGCAAGAACGCTTGAAAATATTTCCCAACTCTTACTGTGCCTGCAGGTAGCATGGGTGGGGAAGAAGAAGGATAGGGAAAAATAACATGGAAATATAGAACTGTAAAAATAATACAGAAATATAGAATTTAGGAGGTTGTAAATGGGATAGAGGTAGTTAACTTGGAAAATGTAACAAAGTACAGAAATAGCACTGCAACTTCACACACTTTTTTTGCTCTTTTTTTTTACTGAAGGTGTAGAGGTTAATGATGACTAATGATAGAATTGTAGAGCAGTAATTGCTGATTCATTACTAATCATGTTTCAGTTGTTTATTCTGTTGTTTAAATACATTTTGGAAAGAAGTAGTAGAAAATGAGTATCTCCTGGATTGAGGAATAATATTCAAATTCATCCTCAAGAGATTAGTGCTCCCATTAGCAAGAAGAGATGAGAAGCAAAATTCAAGAAAAGAACATATGTAGCAATCAGGGAATTGAAAATCAGAGGGAAAACTCCCTCCAGTATCAATGGGAGAAGAATCTGCCCTTTTTTGACATTATGATTACTTCAGAGGTAGAAAAATAACCAAGGGATCCTACTGTCTCTGAATGACATGCAGATGAACGCCAGCGTTCTTACCTGTATGTTTTCAATGATCTTGTCATCTTCTGGTAAACGCGGGTTAATTGCAATAACAATGTCCTCATAGCCACCTTTTTTCAGCTGTACCATAGAACCTCTCACCACGAGCAGTAGTTGAAATGACACTAAAAGAATCATACTCTTAAACACCATCACTGTTTGTCTCTCTCTCCACGTTTGTTGGTTTGAAAACTTATGGAACTGTGGGGCTATTTATACCATCATTTTGGCCACAAGAAACCAACACGTGTTAAGACCAGAATTTGACCTGGTATGTATGATAAGGAGTTGTTATTGAATGTGTTGGCTTAAATGTTAATTTCCTGAGGCGTTTTCCTGGAATTGTGATAATGTTGGAATATTCCACTGACCCTCCTGCCCACATGTTGTGTCTTGCCTGTGGAGCTGTGTTATTTGCCAGTGTGGTTCCCCACAAGTCAAGGAAGAGGTGCCATAGCAGCATTAGTGCTCTCAGAGTGATGGCTGTTATTGCTGCCACCTAATCTGGCACATGGGGTCATACTAGCATGCGGGGCCATGCTTAATCACATCTGTAGACTGAGGTCATGGCCTTAAGAAATGTATATAAAATAAATTTAATGGACTAATGTTGGAAATGAATGCTTGGGGACAGAGAGAGGAGGTGGGTTAGGGACTCTGTGTTTTGCTGAGGCATTCAGCTAGCTGTATTCTCGCAGGTTTGTGCAGAGGTGTAGCATGCTGATTGAGTGCTGGGGTGGAGAGTGGAGGAGGGGTGCCACAGAGGTATGCCAACCATTGTAGACTGAGTTGAGGGAATGTGGATAAGAAGAAGACTTACCTTCCCAGCTACTTCTGCTGTTGCTATAGCAGCAGAAGCTCCACTCAGGCCTTTGGAGCCCCATAGCCAGGCTTCCTGGGAGACCCCTAGGGTCCCCCGTTCACTCCTCACCACTATGTACATATTGGGTGCTATGCTGTGCCTACTCTGACAAAGGCTCCCCTGGGTGGAGAGATCATGATCCTACTTGCTCCACACGCTCCCACTCCCTAGATAGTGCTTGGTGTGGTGTTGCCTTGTCTAGCTCCTGTGGGCAGTCTAGGATAGCTCTATACGCATAGCTATCCCTACCATGGCAAAGACTCCCAGGGCTGGGATTCTGGTGCCATCTGCTAGCCAGTGCTCCTCTTAACCCCCTAGCTAGGCTTCTGCTCTCCATAGGATTTGCTTCCAGGTTTCATTGGGCCTTTACTTAGAACAGGTTTACTTGGATTTTTGTGCTGCCCTGTTGCGGTCATTGAAATGGTGGCTGTTGTGTATGCCCCCAGGCTAGGTACAGACATTCAAAAAGCCTGAAGTGGAATTAATGTAAGTTACTCGGCTTTCTCTATGTGGCGTAGTTTAGATCGGTAGTGAACAGAACATACGTTCACCTGCTGGTGCTGAGTGCTGGGGTGGCTGGGGGAGACAAACCTTAAATCAGGTTCTGCCATTTTAAATGAGTCTATGTGCCAAACTTCTGTTCTGTTGTGGGTCTAGTCTCGTTTCCAGTTACTTATAGTAGGAAAAGTGTAATTACTGTACCTGGCCAAGTGTGATAGAAATTGAAAAATACAAAACCCATTCTAGGCCAACACCCTTGTTACCAGATTTGCCTATTACTTTGGGGCGTGCTCATTTATTAGGGATAGTTTCTAGGGTCTTGGTAATTCTGTCTATGTGCTGCTTGTGTTACTATATGGAGCCGTATCTCTCCCTTCTGCAAGCCCTCACCCCCAGTGGAACTATCTTGCAGGACTCAGTTTCAATGGGACTGGGTTCCTCCAGTCACCAAATCAGTCATACACACAAACACACACAGATTAACGTGACACACCTGACCCGGCTGGGTTGATCAGCATGGACAGGCTGACACCCTCATATACCAAGAATCAGTTCATCAGAGCAACAATAAACTGCAGTCAGACACAAGCACACGGGTAAACAGAATCCCTCTGAATCCGGCTGGGTGTCCAGCTGACGCCCTCATGGGCCAGCATTCAGTTCATAAGGGCACGTCTGAGTCAAACTGGGACAATCAGCCTGTACAAGCTGATCCCCGTATGTGTTTCAAACTCAGCACGTCCCAATCTTTGGCCTCT